CTTCCGATCTGTTAAATAAATAAATAAAAAATATATAAACAACATAATAGAATTTTTCTACAATTTTACTATAATTTCGTAAATATAATGTATATCATGTCGTCGTCTTCTTCTTCTTCGAGTTTCAATCTGAAATTCAGTCAAACCCAAGTCTAATCTTCACCAAAACACCTCAAAATTGAGATATAAAATTTCAAACCATATTCCCAATTGTTTGCAACAACACCCAATCCAACACAAATAATGATTTTTGAAAACCCAATTCGAATTCAAAGCTTCAAAGTTTTTTAATGGCTGTCAATGGTGGAATTGCTGCTCTCTTTTCCTTTGCTTTACATTACTGAAATTAGGGACTGAAAGATAGAGAGAGATGTAGAGAGAATTCCCAATTGTTTGCAACAACACCCAATTCAAACAAATAATATTTTTTGAAAACCCAAATTCGAATTCAAAGCTTCAAAGCTTTTTAATGGCTATCAATGGTGGAATTGCTGCTCTCTTGTGCAAGATACGTGGGGGAGGAGGGGGGATACAGAGAGAGAAACATGGGGAGAGTGGGAGTAATTGTAGGAATTGATTAATTATCCTTAAATCCTAAAAATGTACATAATTGATAATTTTGTATATAGGAGGTAATTAAAGTGAAACTTGAGTAGGGAGGGTAATAAAGTTTCCAATAGTGTATATGTACCGAATTGTGACATATGAGTGGAAACATAAGGAAAGAGAAGAGGAGAAAAAAAAAAGAAAAAGAGTGTAACTAAATTCCTTAATTGAAGGCACTAATAATGGATTGGGAGCCTTTTAAGGTGGAATGTATATATTTTGTAAACAAAACTTGTGTAAGTAGGGTAATCTACTAAACATGAACATTTAGGGTAATAAACTTTTCAATAATGTATATGATTGAAAAAAATTCTGAATTAAGATTTTACATTCCTATGCCATATAGTAAACTATATTATATGTCATTATTGATTTTTTGACCCTGGTCATAGAAATTGCGGAAGATACCTAACCCAAAAATTTTAAAGCACGCTGGGCATAATTTTTATTGAGCACGTTAGGTTGATTATTTGCTACAAATCCTGACAGACCACCAAAATTTTTCAATATTGTAGCTGCAAAATTTGGTGATTGTCAGAATTTCTAGTGCTTCAAAATTCTAGCAACCATCAGGAGCATACTTAAAATTCTGGTGCGTGGTTATGTTCATAAAATGTTTCTTAATGGGGTCAAAATATAACGGTGGTTTAAAAAAGGTCCATCCATCGTAATTCTTGAGCAATTTATGCAAAATACCCATTGAGCTTAACTCATTACTCTTCTCTACCTATTTGAAAACTAGTTACAATATATACCTACCCAATTAAAATTAATTACCCAACCTACCTACCCATCCCACTTTTCTTACCCATTTGGCTTAACATAGCTTGAATTGGCTTGGCTTCGCTTGGCATGGCATGAATTGACTTGTCTTGGCTTGGC